GGACTGTCTGATCGTTCTGTTGCCGGAGATAAGTGAAAGGCCTTAAGAATATCAACAAATTTGGCATGAATTATTATATTATCTGCCAGCAAAAATGCGACGTATTATGTATTCACAAGTGTGCCAGTAAAACATTCATCATTTCCATAGTAGCTGCCTTCATGAAGCACCATAAATCTACCCGCGTCGGCATGTGTGGCCGTGGAATTCCAAAATGCTGCGTAACTTGTCGACGCGTCGGGGAAATTTGCGCTTGCCTCGGGGTTGATGGAGGCCGCCATGTCCAGCACATCGGGGAAATCTGCGCTTGCCTCGGGGTTGATCGATGTCAGCAAGTCAGGATCACGTGAATTTGACATCAGAGTTGAACATCGATCTTCTGACAGATTATGCGGCATGGCAAGTTGTGAAAGTTGACTCTCATCAGTTCCCTGTGATCTCGTTCCAGGGGTCGAGAACTGCAAAAATCCATGGGGCCTCCGATTTTCGAGCCTGCGGGCCTTGTTCAATGTTTCACTCTCATCTGTTTTGCGCAATGTGTCAAATTCATTCATATCACCTGCCCATGGGAGACCTATCAATCGACCTACCGTAACTAACGCTGATCTCGTTCCTTTTTCTTTTGTTTTTGCTGCTCTTTGACGATTTAGTCAAAGGTCGCCTTAAAGCATCTTGTGACGGCCAAAACTGAGTCCACAATTCGCTAGAAATCAATTCACCCAAGTGAATGAAACTACATTCAGTGACAATTTGGTCAATCATCTTCACGAAATTTCCTGATCGCAGGAGCGATGCATTTTGTAAAATGCCTGTCTGTATGTCTGTATGTGTATCAGCGATACTTTGACCAAAAGTTCGAAACTGAGCTCAGCTCACTCTCTCTCTGTTATGTTTAAAGGCATCGCAAGCAGATAACCAGATCCACCTAGTTCCGTCGCCCATCTGCTATACTTCCGGCCAAGCCGTACGAACTTATCCAGGTGGCTCTTTAGCTTTTCTTGCCCCACTTCCAGCGACAGTCGTTGCTTTCTTATTTGTTTGGCAAGATCGGAAGATGCGTTCCGGCACCATCTTTCCCCTGTGTGGTAGTCCAGCTCGACTGCCAGTAGGTAAAAGTTTCGAAGTTGAAACCGTCGGTATAGTGCAAGCACCTCGGCATCTTTTTGTTGATCATATATCTGAAGGAAAGCCGATGCCAACCCAACTGCTCTTGGATTTCGGCAAATCTTACTGCAAAAACCCGTTGAATCTTTCAACCATCGCCCTGAAACCTCACGAAGCCAAGGGGATATTGATACTCGGTGGATTTTAAAATTTGTACTCTCCAAAGCACAACTTTGAGATTTGCTTTGCGTACTGCTTGATACAGAGCTCCGGCTTTCATCGCAAAGGTCAATCGACGAGACACGGCCGGGAGTAGATGCAGAGTCGCTTTCGATATCGCTTTCATCGTTATTTTCAGTCGATGTTACATCGGTTCCGCCTTTTGGCCCACCATAAGTTTTGGAGTGTGTATGACGTTTATCAGTAGTGTTGATTGGTGAGGCATGGGTTGAAAAGGATTGGAAATTATTCCCGCTGCTATTCTCAGTCGGACTTTCGTTGCCTTGAGTACCGCTGGCTGTTTCTTCCTGTTGTGTTTGGCTTTTGATGCTCAAAAGTCTGTCAAGGGTGGAGATTCTGGGCGGACAAAGACGCTTGAAGTAATGCAGGCGGTCTACCAACCTCTTTCTCGATTCTGTCGAGGAGACGGTCAAGTTGAGTGAGAAGCCCATTGAACTCAGCATCAAGTTGCTTGAGATTATTCATGGCCGTCTTTGCAATGTCTCATTCGAGCATGGAATATTCAACAAGAGACGGGGCGGGGTCCCGTAGACTAGCTGTTTTTTGTACAGTCCACACATCCTGAGGAGGCCCAGGCTTGGCCAATCAGGGCCTTGTTATTAGCGCCAGTTCTTGGCTGAACTTAGTATCACTTCACATACCGGGATTGTATGATATGATTAATTAGAGCTTTTCTCGAGACACTTTGTCGCATCGGCTTGTTTTCTGTTACACACAATGGTCTTTTTCCCCCATAATCCCAGCTCGCCAGTCAGTATCATATACTTAGTCTTGTAATGAAAATTTAGAGTTAACCGTGCCAAGCGCCCAACCACCCATCCTGGGTAGTTGGTGCGCCCCACCAAACGCAAAATTCCCACCAAACGCAAAATTTCCAATTTCTCATTCAATAAAAATGCC